GTGTGTGTGTGTGCATATGTGTGTATGTATGTATGTATATACATATATATATATATATATGCATATATATATATATGTGCAGATAAAAATATACAAATATATATATATAATATATATGTATATATATGACATTTTCAGCACATCAGTACGTACCCATTGATCGACGAGCGCTACCACGCACTTGTCTCCACTGCGCGACATAATCTCACTCTCTGGTTCGTAGTAGCCGCAAGCCAGACCCTGTACAGAAGAAACCCCGGGATTTAAGAATATAACCAAAATTTACATTTGTGAAAACCAAGTTTACATGTGGGATACAAGCACGTGTAGGTGGTGCTGCCGGTTGAAGCACATACGAGTGTGTGTGAGAAGAGAGTCATGTGAGATGAAAATTTCCTGGAGATATACGACTAATCAAAGTTCTCTTTAGTCGTGGTGGATGTACTCAAGAAGAAATTCGGCGTGAGGTTATATACGGGCACGACCACAATATACATACACTGCATCTAAATACTTTCCCTAAGCCATATCACGTTATAACTATTGATATACACACCATACTCATAAATATATAAACATCCGAAAACATCTCGAATTCGCTTAGGCCACACTCTGGCGCTTTTGGGCCCCAACCAAAACCATACTCTAGCCTAAACTCTTGGGTATACTCTAGCCTAAACTCTTGGGTACACCACATGAGGCACCGTTTCAACTTAATATTAAAGTAAAACACATGCATACATGTATATAAGCATAGAAGTATATATATATATATATATATATGTATGTATGTATGTATGTATGAATATATATATATATATATAATCGGAAGATATACACCCTACCTGCTTAATTAGGTCAGCCCTGACCTTAGGCTTGGCATCCGCCACACTCATGCCCTTGTAATCACCAACCAAAAGAACACCCTCGTAGAAACCCTTAAGGTAGACTAGATCCTTCGCCTTCGCCAGTGCTTCGGTATCGTTTTGTGATCGGATTTTGAACTTGTCGCAGGCGAATACTGCGGCGAGGTCTCCCAGCTGTGGCCCGAAATGTTTGACAATTTGATTAGAAGAAACCCGACCCCAACAATCAAGTAGATATACGAGATGTGTCCGAAAAACCAAATCGGAAAGGCCCACACCCGTGAGTAGTCTAGGTGGAACCAGATAGGACTGCTGCCAATGAGTAGGACGTACACAACACATATACCAGACCGCTGAGACGCAAACATACACCCAGGCAAATACGTATACACATACACATACACGCACATGTACATAAGTGTAGTGTTGCAAGGTGGCTGGAGAATACACACACTTCCCCTTCAATGCCGACAAGTACTTCGAAGGTCAAGGCCATCTCGTACGTGATACCTTACTTCTCGTGCATGAGCCGTTGTATAGTATTCGCCCTTCAAGAAAACATTCGCGCGTTTATATACAACACCTACATATATCTAAACAACGGAGCTGCATGATACACCCTACCTCGTCAATGCGGATGAATGAGGGTACTTCAAAGGGCAAGACCATCTCGTCTGTGATACCGAACTTCTCGTGCAAGGGCTGTTTTACAGCTATTCGTGCCCTTCAAGTAACATTCACGCGTTTATATACAACACCTACATATATAAGTACATCTACGCAACGGAGCTGCATGGTACACCCTACCTCGTCAATGCGGATGACTGGAAGTACTTCAAAGGGCAAGACCATCTCGTCTGTGATACCGAACTTCTCGCGCATGGGCTGTTTGTTCTTGAGATCGCGCAATGTGGCATAATCATCCGGCGAGTCCGAAGGCACAGACGTTACAATGCCTGATCCCTTGTCGGGCTGTTTTAGGGTTTTAGGGGTTTAGGGTTTAAGAGGAGGCAATTAAACGAGACCAGTCAGGTTTCAGAGCGATCTTGATTGGACTTGTGGAGATTTCAAGTTTTAAATAGCTGTTCACAATGTCTAATTTCTTAGTTGTAGTGCGGTTATACTTGATATACGAAACTGGTAATCCGTCGCGTGCATTTGAGTGTCACAACGCTTGGTCTCTCTTATTGAACTGTACTGGCAATTCATGTAAGAACTAAGGGATGAAGATATGACTACAATGGCACACTTTGCCACAAGCAGAGGCTAAATGTGAAAGTAGGTACCGGGATAAAAACCAGCACACACCCACGCGCACACACGTGACACACCCACGCATATATGCAATTTTACACAATTATACGATATGTATGTATGCACCTACATATACAGCTATATAAAGTATACATATGCAAGTCACACGTACCTTGATATTCAGCATAGGCAGTGTGTAGACCACGTCGTACGAGGTCAGAGGTGCCTCCAGCGGCACTCCTATGATATCCATACCTACCAAGTCCATGACCTTGGTCGTCTCACCGAATACTGGCGACCGTCCCTGATACGACAGATTCTTGGCACAGTGTTCGGCACAGATGAAGATCTGGAGTGCACGCGAGATGGGTTGAAATGGTGGTGAGTTGCAGTGGTGCTGATGAGATGTGAGAGGATATTAGCTATGCAATACAGCGTGTGAATTGCACGCTGGTGCGTATGTGTGTTTATATATAGTCTTGTAATCACGTGCAATGGATGTGAGCGGACCTGAGATATGGGAAGGGAAGGGGGGAAAGCGAGCACAAACATACACTGAAAGGAAGTGCCCGTCACCAACAGCGTACACACTCCCATACAGGGGAGAGAGATCAATACAGTACTCGATACAAACACGAGGTGATACATACACGCATACTCGCACGGTAAGCAAAGCACACATACACCTACCTCATTCTCACCCACATCATACGCTCCGTAGCTCATGTCGGGGCGTACCCACACATTGGTCTGTCCGTACATCGTCTCGGGACGCAGAGTGCCTGCGACCATGTACACCTTCTTTCCTCCGTCAGTCAGGGAGGCCATCTCAGAGGGCAGCTCCCGCACGTGTAGTTTGATCAGCGTGTATTCCTGGGACCCCACACCCTCACCTGTGGTTTAGGGTTTTAGGGTTTATACAGAAGGGTTGGCATGGCAACGAGGAGGAGGGAGGGTATCAGTATACGAGACAGCAAAGACAAAGTACGAACCAGAAAGTGGTGGATGATGAAATTTCACGAATTCGAAGTCTGCGCATATACTTCGTGCGAGTGTGCGTGCGTGCTGGAATAGAGTGTGAGGTTGTATGTGGCTGGTTGAGGAGGCTCTGGGGCAGACTCAAACTAGTACGAAGTACATGCGACACCAAATAACTGGCGAGTTATGGAGCATCACGGATGTATTTCATCGATGAATCTGGTGCGATATGTATTCACTTGGTGATGCATATAGGGATGAACTACAAACACATACACAGGGACACACACTACAGACACGCATGCAACAAAGCACTGAAGCGTGCACACACGCCGAAATATACTTGTGTATATGCCCCAGGCACATGTTTGTGCAGACACAAAAAACAAACTATGATATGCAAACATACATATCCAAAGTGTCCGTGTAAAACAACACACGACTTCCCTACACGGAAGCATACCCATAACAACATGTGTAAATAACACACAGATACACTTACACCCACACAAATATGTATAAATATATATATATATATATATATATTACTATTATTATATATATATTTATATATATACATATATACATATATATATATATGTATGTATGTATGTATATATGTGTGCATACATAATATATATATATATATATATATATACATGCTTATATATATATATATATATATATATATATACATATATATATATATAAAGAATGCACCTGAATACACACGCACCTGCATGTATACAAATACATACATGCATTTAAATCACACAGATCCATACACACATATGTGTAAGCGTACCTGTCTGTCTGTCGTGGTCCATGCAGGGCTGGCCGTCTTTAGGCGAGTAGATGGTGTGGCGCTTTCCAAACTTGATTTTGCCCAGATCGTTGAGGGTCTCAAATTGCCATCGCACAAACGAATCGTAGTACGGGTTGGCGGGTGTGGTGATAAAGGATCTGTGGTGGTGCAGGATGAGGTTTTGGTTCAGACAGTGGGATGTAGCAGTGGACCTATAGTACAGCGAGCCATGCTAATGATTGGGGTTTTGCTCGAAAAGGATGTCTGGTCTGTGGCTATGTAAGGCGACCGTAGGAATCTGGATTAGGGCGTTTATGGCCGAGCAAGGTAGAACAAGGTTTCAGTAATTGGGTTGTGGTAGATAATCGGATTTGTAGATTCAAATTGTATTGACAGGCACAAGTTATCTATACATCATTAAATATCCAATATGCGCATGCAAAATCAGTCAAGATATATATATATATGCGCGTGAAAATGAAAACAACTTATATATTTATATTTATATATATGTGTGTCTGTGTGTGTTTATGTATACAGAAATATGCATTTATTTCATCATAAAACAGTATATAACCCATTATATATATATATATATATATCTACATAAAATATATATCTACATCTACATCTACATAT